TTGTAGGTTATGGAGGGGGCAGCAAGATGAATCAACAGGGAAAGGTGCTTGTTAAAAGTCCATAGACTTGAGTTTCATCGCCCAAACCTAAAGGTGGAAGGAGAGAACCTATGACCTCCACAGCTGACTTGATAAACACACCCATCATGTACAAAAACAACACTTAATTTTAAAAACACCTTTGGTCAAGCAGTCCAGAGATAGTATTTATGCTTCAGTATACTTAAGTAACAAGTTTAGTAGCATTCAAAAATCAGAACATAGTCGTACATACCTGTAGTCCTAAGACTTGGGCATTTGAGGTCATCATGGACTACATAAGGAGACATTATCTTTACAAAGAGGACAGGCAGTATTTTGTTTTGAATTGAAGGAGCTAGAAGGATGGCTCAGCACTTGAAAAGGACCCAGATTTGGTTGCCAGCACCTAGATGGCCCCTCACAACCATCTGTCACTCCAGTTCCAGGGAATATTCTACCCTCTTCTGGCCTCTGGGCAGTTCATATTTGGGAATAAGCAAGCAAAACACACACATAAAGTAAACAATCTTTATTAGGTTTACAGTTTTCTATTGAGTGTTCTTAATTAAGGCAGACCAACTCTGAGGCAGGAAAATGAGATGGTAGATACTAGGAACTTTTATTGCCTTTGTGTGTGTATGTATGTGTGAGTATATGCATGCATAACACAAATGTGGAAGTCAGTGGTCAGCCTGAGTGTCAGTTCTCTCCTACCATGTGTCATACGGATGGAACTAAGGGCAGGCTTGACAGCAAGCACCTCTGCCTGCTGAACCAGCTCATAGTCCTACATCAGGAAAATTTGTTAGAAGCTGAAACAAAAGATTTTCATGAAACTAGATAAAGTTCAATGAACAAAATACCCAACCTTCAAAAGATTTCATTTAATTGCATTTCAATAAAGGGCTTAAAATATTTTAATCTAAAATACAAGCTCAAGTCAGTTAGCATTCAGCATCGACATCGGAGCTCTCAAGTCCCTGCTCCTGATGATCTATTTACTGATGGCTGATTGCTTCTGAGGCAGGGAGAGGCAGATTTAGGAACTTTTTAAAAAGAGGGATGGAGAGATAGCTCAGCCATTAAAGTCTAGGTTCACAACAGTGTGTGCATACATAGTGTTACATGAGTAACATGAAATTTGGAGGAGGTAGCAGGTGGACATGAAAAAAGTTGGGGGAGAAGTAGGGATAAGTACAATCAAAATACACTGTGTGCCTCAAATAAAAAAAGAATAAGAATATTATATCAAATAAATAAGGTAGACATGGTGGTACGTGCCTTTAACCCTAGCAGTAAGGAATCAGAGGCAGTCGGATCTCTGTGTGTTCAGGGGCAGTCTTGTCTACAGAGTGAGTAGGACGGCCAGGCTCTTGTTACACAAAGAAACCCTGCCTGAAGGTGGAAGAGGAGGGGAAGAGGGAGGGAGAGTGGGGGAAGGGAGAGGGGTAGAGAAAGAAAGCATGAGTTCGCTCATGCTGGAGGTGTTGCTCAGTGCTTGTGCTCCACAAGTTCTATCCCAGGTGTTATTGCATAAACTGGGTGTGATAGTGCCTGCCTACAGTCCCGGTCCTTGAAAGACAGAGGATAGAAGATCTGGAGTAGGAAGATCTGGAGTGAGTTTGAGGTCACAAGGGCTACATGAGAAACCCTTTCTCCAGAAAGTAAAAATGTAATTCACACTTCTACTTCTGGGTTATATAAAAGACTCCAAAGTAAAGAATTATTTATTAAAGAATTGTGTTTATACCCACCATGTCCAAAATTTCCCATAGCAAGCCCAGAGTCAAATTGTTTCTGTAAATCATCAGATTTTCACAAATTTGGTTCAAACCACGACTCCCAGTCAACACCTGGAACTACATACAGGCCTCTGTCATACCATGTATGGTCCAGCAACATCTCTGTTCACTCTAGGTAGTGTTTCCATCCCAGGATTGGCAGGACCAGCAAAATGCCTATTTGAGAGGGAAATCTAGTTTCTAAACACAGAGATAGTGCTGACAGAATTCTGAGCATTGTCTGCCTCCATACTTTTGTTGTAACTGTATCCCTAAAAAGCTGTTTTATGCTTGCTTCTCGTGAATACTGAGTTCAGCCTGACTCCTCTGCTATTTCAAAAATAGTTGAACAGATAACACCTCATAAAGCAACTGGTTTTATCAAGACAGGGTCTCACTATGTAGTCCTGGCTAGCCTGGACTTCACTAGATCAAGTTCATGGAGATCCACCTGCCTCTGTTCTCAAATATTGGATGAGAGAGAAAGAAGTGAGTGTGTGTGTCTGCAGGTACTTGTGGAAGTGAAAGAGGATGTGAAATTTTCTGTACGTAGTTAACAAGCAACCATAGGCCACCCAAAACGGATGCTGGGAACCAAACTCAGGTCCTCTACAAGAACAGTAAGCACTCACAGCCAGTCACTCACATACACATACATCTGTAGCCTGTAATGAAGAGTCTTTTTAAGTGACATCTCAGATAAACAACTGAACACAGTTGGCTAGAAGGAAGGGTATGTGGAGTTACTGAAAAACACTATGTCATTAAACCCCAAGACTGTAACTTCATCCTAAACATGCTATCTGGGTATAGCAGCAAGGGGTACATGGCAGACCAGGAAATTCAGTCACTGGAAAACATCATTATTTAAGCAAGAAAGCACTATTTCCTAAACTTGTCCATGGATAGAAGAAACAGAGCTGTGTCCACAGGTACAGTGTATAGAGCAACTGGCTGGATTTAAAGAAGGGAGAAAGGAAAGGGCACAATGGGATATTGGGATTATGGCTCTGAGTGATATATGGCTAACACAAGGAGAAACCAGTGAGCAGAAAAGTGAGCCCAGGTTTAAGTATGCAATCATCCTAGAACTCTAGTAGGCAGCCAGATGTACAGAAGCTTTTAGTGTGTAAAGAGGCTGAAGCTAGACATGGAGATTGATTAGCACAGGTGAAGTGGTAGGTAAACATGAAAAAGACCAAGATTGCCCCAGAGTGCAAGAGTTCAGTCCACAGCCTGCCTCACAATGCTGCTTACGGGGTAAGAGAACTTCAACTGTGCTAGCTTTAAGCTGGTGACCTCGAGGTGCCCTGTGGCACAGTGTGGGTCTAGTTCTTAGAGTGTACTAACAGATGCCTGCGGATCCTCCCGTTTGTCAGTCAGATGTATCTCTAGGTATTCCCTGAGTAGGTTTCCACAGCACTAACCAAAAGGACAGTAATTCAATCTTTTTGGGTTGGTTTGTTTTGTTTTGTAGCCCTGCCTGGCTAGCCTGGAATTCATGGTATATACCAGGATGCTGCCCTGCTCCAGAGTGCTGAAATTAAAGCACCTGGCTGGCAGTGTTGGGGAAAGGGGTTTTCAGTCACAAATAATCTTGCCGCCAACAGGGTTGGTTATGTGTCACAATAATGCTCAGGTAAGCCCTAGTACTTCTCTATGAAAACAGGAGCTACATTTGGTAGTTATCAAACCCTGATCACCTCCACCTGGTGGTTGGGAGTTCATGAGTCAAGGAAATTAATGTTAAGTAACGTATCCAAAGTCACACACTGATCAGACTCGGATTAAAACCTGAACTTAAAGAGTCTTGGCTCCATAGCCCACATTTTAACCCTTTAGCCACCATTCCAAATGGTCTCCACCAGGCTACCAGAGCTGCAAGAGGCTAGTTCCATTCATTCCTTCATTCCTATTACATTGTAGCCTAGCATTTGGTTGAAGCTCAGCAATTTCACTGAATTAATATCACTTCTGACTTAATACTGGAACCTTTTTCTCAGACCTGTACTGGTGTATTTAAGACACGAGCAGCTTGCACATAGCAAGTCAAAGACCAAGGGAAGAAAAATGTCTTCCATTTTGACAGAAATAAGCAGCCCTGATTTGTCACTGCTAGAATTAACCTTGATACTACTTCCACTCCTACCAGAAAAGGAAAACATTGCCTCCTTACCACAATATCCCACTGCCGTGATATATCATGACACCTCAAGGATGGGGAAAAGAAACAAATTAAGAATATTTTTGCAGTGACCCAGGTTAAGCATCATGAGCTAGGATCATGGGGGAAATTTCCCAAACATTAGGTAGACTTTTTAATGTTTAAATGGGGGCGGGGGCTGCTGAAGAAATGGCTCAATGGTTATGCGCACTTGTTGCCCTTGCCCTTTGCAAAGAACCCAGGCTTAGTTCCCAGCGCCCACATGGCAGCTCACAACTATTTATAATCCAGTTCCAGGGATCCAGTGCCCTCTTCTGATTCCATGGGCACAACACACATGGTACACATGTGTACATGCAGGCCACACACATGAAATAAATCTAAAGGGGGGGGGGAGTTCAGGGGGCTGGATATGTGGCTCCAAAATAAAGCACTTTGCTTGCTTGTACAAGGTCTTAATAACAAGACTACACCAATGATGTCAAGTACTGTCAGACCATAGTTCTAGGGTCAAATTAGTATCAGAATACTTTAATACCTCAGGGCAGGCAACCATCATTCACAAGAGATAGATATTGACCCTGGGAGACATGGCATTTCAAGGCTATCAGTAGGCTCTTAAGGGACCAATGAGAATTAGAATTCTTCCCAGCTTGAATAGAGAGGAGAATCCACCAGCAGACTTAAAAGTCTTCAACAGTCTTGAACATCTGAATGTGTCAGTAGGGGTCAAGGAGAGAGATACTAATACAAAAGCAGTGAATGATAACAAGTTCCCATGTAGAAATACCAGTGTAAACACTGTAAAGCTCCTCACTCAATGCTTTTCAACAAATCCTAACATGGACTTGAGCTTTAGGGAGCAGGGAGGAGCTTTCAGCTCTTCAGAGCAGCTCAATTCTATGTATACTGCCAGTTAAGTGAGAGTGATTTTTCAGGCTCATCTTCCAGACCCTGCATTGCTATATTAACATGTACCCAAATGTTTACAAACTATATTCTTTAAAAAAAAACTTACTGCTTTGTCCTTTCAGCTCCTTTGAAGATTATGAAGAAGAACCTGTGTCTCCCTCTGAATTTGGAAACAAAGGCAATAAAATAGTAACTTCAAGCCTTTCAGAGAAATGTGGAAAGCTTCAGTCAGTGGATGAAGAGTAGTTCCCAGTATCTACACAAAAAGGATGGTGTGTAGAAATGTTCTAGTTTGCACACTGCTTTATAAAGGCTTTTGATTCCTCCAAGTGCACTAGAAACTAAAATGCTCTAAGTAGTTCAGCACAGAAGACCCCCTCCAGTCTGCCGCAAACCTCGTGCAGAGCTCTTCCTTGGAAGTAGCATACTGTCAGCAATCACCTTCCAGAGTCTGCAGTCAGCACCCTAACCCCTCACTGCACAGAGGCCAAGCACAGTTGTCTGCACAGCAGACGCTGCCTCAGTGTTGGCCAGCTCCCCTGGGGTCCCTCAGGCTCCTACAGAACCTACAAGAAAACTTCACTTGCAAAAAACTTGAGTCAAAAATTCTGGAACTTGAAAAAGGGCCTCTAGAACTGACTTTGTCCTAGTAACAAAAGCACTGCCAAAACATCTCAGAGACTACTTATGTGTACTGGAGTTCAGGGACCTTGAACTTACCTGGTTTAATGTAATTTCACCATGACCTGCCAAACTGCTAGTTACTTTACATTCTCAGGTATTGTAACCAACCACTGGGCCCTTCCAACTCTGCTGGCAAGCTCTGGCAGCCTCTGCGACTGTGGATCTTGTACAAAATTTCAAGACAAAAAAATTCTTAAAACGAAGACAAATACAGAATCTGGCACTTAACATTTGTAGACAATTGTTGGGTAATGTATTAATCTACACACTTGCTGATAACCTATCTTCATTTCTAGCCGAAGGCCTACTTGAAGACTTAAGGAATGTGACATACCATGAAAAATCCTCACTATACATATTCCCTTCCTTCCTTGAATACTAGACTAAGTCAAAAGTAAAAGGCACAAATTAAACAACAGTTTTTCTTACTTCCTGTGGGAAAGAAACTACATCAAGTATTTCATCCACCTCAATATTATCAAACTTGGAAGAAAACAGTAACTCTCACCCACAGTAGAAAGCCTTTTACTATAGTGGTAAATTCAGAATCCTGTATTTTTCTACAGGCCACAGTGCAGCCAAACCCTACAATATGCCTGATACCCTTCATGTTGGGAGAAAGAAAAAAAAAAAAAAAGATTACTGTAAAGAATGGACATTTCTAAAATCAAAGCAGCTTTTTACTATCTCTGCCAAAGTCATCAACTTATCCCTATCCCTTTGTTTTGATTTCAAAGGGTCAGAATAACCTCCTAGTTCTCTTGCTGATATAAAGGCCAAGCACTGAAATAATCAAACCTGGGATGATGGAGGGAAATGTAATCCCTGTTATCTTAACTTCATGACTCAACTAATCCCCCACGTAACCATTACAGAAACAGGGAACTATTACAACTAGCCTAACAGTGACTAAATTGGGGACAGTTTTTACAAAAAAAAAAAAAAAAAAAAATACATATATATATATGGCATCTGTCTAAAATCTGAGGATGTAGGTAGTTAAGGCAAGAGATAAGAGAACACACTATATACAATAGCCTAAATACACTGATAAATTTTGTTTACTATAATGCCAGCATTCAAGAGACTGGGGCAAGGAGGATTGAGGGCTCAAAGTTTGAGGCCAGCTTAGATTACACAGTGAAACCTTGCCTTAGAAAGAATTCTGTGTTATTACCAATCCCGTACAGTCTTTAGCAGGAAAGGAGAAATGACTTTAATTTCAGATGAAAATACAAAAAGGTAATACTTGTTGGGGGGCAGGGAGCGTTTAAAGGATTTTATTAGCTTCATTCTAAAGTATTTGAGACTTATCAAAATGCACAAAATTTAAAATATCCTTAACTAACATGGACAGATAGGGCTCAGCCAGTTAGGCCTCACCCCTAACCCACACCTAACAAAGCACTCCACCACCATTGCACTCAGCCCCTTTTTAACTCATCTTGCTACCTTGTCCCTTCACCCTTACTGAAACTCTCTTGCTTTTACTTTGATCAAAACCCATCAACACCATCCAGTTTGAAAAGGACTACTTAATTTGGGTCACCCAAATTATACTTCCAAGAATTACAATCAAGTATTTCACCCAATTCCTTTCTTAGAAATGAATGCAGTGAGTGTTAACTTCTAAAGACTAGGTTAGTATATATTTGACTTTGGTAAAGATCAAGCTAAGTACACCCCTCGCCACCAAACTGGAAATGTCAGGTTATGACATACCCAAAGGACCTTGTAAAAAGATGATCTAAATCACTGGTTCTCAACCTTCCTAATGCTGCGAGCCATAATGCAGTTCCTCATGTTGTGGTGACCACAAACCGTAAAATCATTCGTTGTTACTTCAAAACCGTAGTTTTGCTGTTATGAACTGTAATGTAAATAGCTGATATTTGGAATATCTGATGTGCAACCCCTGTAGAATGGGTTGGACCCACAGGTTGAGAACCAATGATTGAAATATTTAATGAAAGGAGGGTTTCATTGCATAATTGCCAAGGTAATCAAACTAATAAAAATCTGTATATTTCCCTGTATCTATCTTATCTGTTACTATACTGTTCAAAATGTAAAAAAAAAGAAAAAAAGAAAAGGAAAATACCAGAACTCAATATCATCTGCTCAGCATTGAAAGTGTTTTTTGAGTACAGTTGGTGCATGACTTGTTTTCCCCTTTTTGCCAAATAAAGCTGTCATATGTATGAATTGTGTTCACTACACATTTTTGGTTTTAGATACAATTCATTTTTATGCCTGTAAGTGAAACTGAGTTTTTGCAAAAATAACTCTTTGAAGACTTGGGACTACAAAGAAAAATAAAAAATCTTAAGGATACCATTTGTATCAACCTGAGAAGTGTTTTCCTCTGGGATAGGAATTCTCCAGGATCAAAGAAGACTTTAGCCTCATCCGCCTATTAAAAGACATGTTACTGGATATCTAAAATGAACTCAGAGTATCAGATCCAGATCATACAGCCTTGAGTTTTATGTTCTAAAAGCACTGTTACCTACGGAAATTCTACTCACTTGCTTAACATTTTTACTTTTTTTCAATAAGGTTATCATGGAATTTTTTAAAGTCCTTTACCTCGTCCTTTACCCTAGGACTTCATGATGAAAATATTCACTCAATGAATTTAACCAGAAAGAAAAACTGTAAGCTCTCTAATAACAAGGACTCACATTAGTCAAGATACAGCAATTTAAATGCAGTCTTGTTTTTGTAATTTCATGTCCTGATGGATAAATTCAGTTCCTTCATTTGTCAGCATTACTTAAAAAAAAAATAACACATGTTATAAAGAAAAACAATATAAAAAAACAAGGCACTGTAATTAAGTACTCTTTCCCAGGCTAATACAGACTATTCAAAACATGCTATCCCAAATTCCTCAGTATTCTACAACATACAATTAGAAAACTATCATTTATTGATAGATTTAAGGTGTGATACAGGTTTCCAAAAATGTGGCAGTGAGAATACCAGCATAAAAAAGAGAAACTTGTGCTAAAAACAACCTGAATTCATCATTGGTAATATTACATAACAATCAAGGTCCTCACATACTGATATCCACTTTGTCTATATTGCCGACCTCCCATGCATCAAACAACAAAGCTAAGATTATCAAATTTGGGAAGCAATGAGGTACTCCATGAATTTTAAGATCATATTAGGAAAGTTCGGGAGATTTGCAAAATATAGCCTAATTATCCATGTGTACAATCTCATTTCTAGTCATTTCTGCAGTGATCATTAGTGAATAAAAAACAGATTTACACGATTATATAGCAGGGCATCTGTTCAACACAAACTGTTACAAATTTTAGGTAAGTACATTTCATAAGACACTGCTATCACTTAAAGGATTTAAATAAAATTCCAAAACTTAGTAAGCAAATAAAGACAAGACAACTAAGAAGCATTTTCCACCATTTACTCTTGTTATCAAAAATAGTTCAACTCTTCTTGCAAAACAAAAACAAAATCGTACATACTGGACACATACATCACATTTTTCTTCCTATGGCTTTAGCCCACCCCCGCCCCACCAAAAGAGACCAAAAAATTTTCGTTTTTTTTTTTTGTTTGTTTTTTGTTTTTTTAAAAAGCCCAATGACAACAACAAAACAACTACCTGACACATTCACAGAAAGTGACACCAGGTACACTACAAAACAGGAGGTGTCATCTGCTCTGTGTCCAAAGGATTCTTCTCCATGTCTTTATGAGGCGAGTAACCATCATCGAACATGCTGTGTGCCAAATCAAAACAACTTCAACACATCAGATCTCACTAGATGGTGAATGCAGTACAAACTGGAACTTCCCTAGCAGTATTTTTCTTAAAATAAGCACTGCCAAAGCAGCAACTCTTTGAAATCACAAGGTTATCTCTACACCTAGTCAGTCCTTGTTTAACCTGGGCTGTGCTCTTTCAAGCAACTGACTAGACTTCCCATCAACAGAATGTTTTTGTCTTCCCCATAAAGTTAATAGGAAGAAGTACATTAAAACTGAAACACCTTTTGTGCTTTACATGCAAAAGAGCATTCTAAAGAAAATCCTCCAAGCTTTACACCTACCTAAATGCACAGGCTTCATTAAAGGCATTTTTTATTAAGGCCTTGATAAAGAAGCCTTCATTATGAACAGCACCCTTAAAAAAAAAAAAAAAAAAAAAAAAAGGAGCATATTCAAGGTAAAGCCTGTGGCAAATAAACAGGAAATAAAAATCAAATAAGTCGTCAATGGCAATAAATATAATGCATAAATCTGGGTACATTTAGGGCATTATTCTAAAATTATTTTAAATAAAACCCAATTTTTAAATTCTTTTTATATTTTTAAAAATTCTGTCATGAACTATATAAATTCAATTATGTTCAGAATAAAACAGCTCTTCACTTTATTTACCAAACAGAGCATTGCTCAAAATGAAAGGACCTAGGATTTTTCTCATAGAAGTGAGTCAGAAACTAGAAAGGGGGCAGAACTCATAAATATTTGGAGCATAAACAGCTTAACATTTGTGGTCTGACAGAATTTATTCACTTTTTTAAAAGACAGATTTCTTAAACATTCTAATGAGGGGGAAATTTTCTTTCATAATACTGCTGATTTAATAACTGCTACATACACACCAGTAGCCAATTTTCATGATCAGAAATGGTATTATGTCAGCACAAAGGTTGAGCTGGACACATCAGCTTTTCAACAGGAGAAATATCAATGCGGCATCTGAAGGCAGCACAAAGTCTCCTGATAAACTAATGGCTACTTTTCCACCCAAAAAAAAAAAAAAAAAAAAGCACAATCTTTATGGACTGACTAGATACCACTTCCTTACATTTAATCATCAACTTTGATTATGCACAAAGCATGACCATAAACAATGAGGTTATTGTTATTTTCCTTGCCAAAGTTCATTTTGTATAAATCAGTTGCATCAGCATTTGTTCTCAAACTATGAGGTTCTGTAAGAACTAAGAACATATAGTTGTAGGGTTACTCCTCCATTATCTGCAAACTATTTCCCCGACACTAACACATATAACTTAGCAATGAAAACACTTGATACAAGTGATCTATATGCAGGAGCTCCGGCAAGTTAAACCAACAGAACCATAGCTGCCGTAAAACTGTAGCTATTTCCTACCAGGGGTAGGTTTAAAGACCCACTGATTTAACAGTCGAATCTCATATCTATAGCTTCATCCAAACTTTTATCATCATGTGTACTGGCAGCTAAAAATGTTGTTACTGGGGACCCTGTGACATTAATTACACTGGTGCTGGTACTTGCATTACGCACAGCAATGCTAGTCACATTAATGCCCAAAGTGAGCCTGGTCTGCTCCAAGGCCTTTTCTGGCACCGCAAATGCCTCCAGCTTCTTCTCCCCATTGGCCATATAGGAGTTTTGGCAGCCACGACATATGCAATCTAAGCAGGCTTTCCGGTTAGAGTAGCAAGGGCAGCGTTGGCCGCGGCATGTAAGAACACTTGGATTTTGAGTAGCACGCCCACATTTACATCCTTTCTTTTCCTGGGGCTTTTTGTACACAGTCTTGGTAGGACTTCCTGGCATAAAATGATGACTAGGAATCTTTTCCTTTACTGCTTTGTCTTTTTTAAGAATACCTGGCTTGGATTTAGAGTGGGATTTCTTGGATCCGTGTTCATGACTTTTTTTCATGCTTTTAGTAGATAAAAGTACAGTTTTGCTGATCTTGGGTGTCGTGCCTCCATTTGGAACAGTTGCTATAGGTTGAAGAGAGATTTTGCTTTCCCGTTTCACGGTCACAGGAGCAGATGCCCCCAGTGTTGGGCCTCGGATAATGGTAGAAATTGGAAGTGGCTGAACTTTCTCACTGTCGCTTTCAGACCTGGATCGTTTTCGATTCAACTTTGCTACCTTCGGAGTTGCTGCTGTACATGATAACCCATGAAGTGTAGGGCTGGTAGACATAAAAACATTATGGCTAAGAGACTGGGAAGAAAGCTGCAAAAAAGGTCCATTGGATACAGTGGCTTCCAAGTTTGGCTGCAAATTAGGGCAGCAAACCTCTGTATTTGAAACAGTTTCTAAGCTGCGAAGTACTTCCTCAACGCTCAGCAAGAGAGAGTCACCAGGTTTTATGTCTTCACTGAAACTACAGATATCAATACCTGTGGAGCATAAGTCAGTGGCTACCGTGTCACAGACAGGTGGCAGGCTGTCAGACAGATCCTCAGTTTTTATATCAACAGTATTACACACATCAATCGTATTTGGATGTTCAGGTGAAGGGATATTTATCCCAAATCTATCTATTGAAAGCCCATTGTAAGTAGGCAATCCATTGATAACAGAACTGCCAATGGCAATGCTGAGGGTACTTTCAGACATTGGAGATAAACTAGCTTGAGGATCAGCTGTGGGTTCTGAAGTTGAAGGTAAAGGGGAATGTGTCAAACACAGAGTGAAAGATGAATCTGAAGGTTTCTCTGTCTCCTCACAAAACAATGATCCATCATTAAGCAAAGCTAAAATATCAGAAGAGCAGTCAACTGCTTCTATTATATCCCGCGCCAGTGTTGTCTGGGTTATATATTCACATAGTTTCTTGTAGCAGTTCACTAGGATGCTTAACTGCTTGTTTTCCTCAAACTGCTCATAGTCTTTGCACCAGCTACAGGAAGGCTTCATCACCATTTTCTTGCCTTTACAAGTTTTGCAGACATAGTGTTGGCAGGTGGAGTTGGTGGGTGCAATAGGATCTTGTAGCAAATGTCCTAAGGGGAGGAGGAAAGCACAGATTTTAGTAAAACTAATACACAATTTCATATAATGGTGTTCAGATATTAACCTCTTCAAACGAAAATTGGTTAAAGTCATAGACTGGCAGGAGGAGTGATATCAGTAACTGCAGAAATATTCAACAGCTCATTTCACAGAGATCCACCTGCCTCTGCCTACCTGAGTGCTAAGATTATAAGCATGAGGTACCTCACCTGGTGAACCTTTAAAAAAAAAAAGTTCATCAATATCACCCAAGTTTAAAATTGCCTTACACACTCAACAATCTGCCTGGCCAGTCATCCTACCACCATTTACAAACTAATGATTTCTGAGTTTTTATCTCCAGCCGTATCTCCTGAATTTCAGGCTCCCAATGGTATTCAAGCTTAACATATACAAACACATTTGCTTTCCTTATACATTTATCTTTCCTAAACACGCTTTAAAATTAATCTTCCTACTCCATCCCTTATTCTTGGATGGATACTGACACCATCTTTCACTCAGATACCAAATACCTTTGAAGCCATCCAGACTGTCCATCTCC